ACATTGGTTGCAACTGTTGCAGATATAGTCTGAGTACTAACCTGAGTTTCTCCAGCTGACATTTAGGATCCTTCAGTACAGCAGAGAGCAGCTTCACTCCTGAGTCTCCTATGTTATTGTCACTCAGATCCAGCTCTCTCAGGTGTGAGGGGTTTGACCTCAGAGCTGAAGCCAGAGACACACAGCCTGTATCTGTGATTCCACAAGCTGACAACCTGTAAAGAGGAGGAGGAAAAACACTATTCCTCAAGTTTTAAACACATGGTTGTTTTCAAGGTAGTTCAAACACAGATATGTGTCATTTACACGGTATGACATTTTTTCCCAATATGGCTATGCACAGGACTGCCTTCTGTCAGTGCTGAACTGGTCAACAAAAGATGACATGTTTCAAGATCGCTGAGGGTGTTTTTCATGGTTTCCTATCTAGCTAATTATCTAGTACATTCCACAATAAATTACACAAATAGCACAACAGATATCACTGTTTTTTTGTCTAATCATAACTTACCTCTATAGATCAAATCACGTAACCTTTGACTGCAAATTATTAGGGAATTCTCACCTGAATGATTTGATTTTGCATTGATGATTCTTCATTCCAACAGACAGTAGGTTAACTCCTGAGTCCTTCAGGGGATTTTCACTCAGATCCAGCTCTCTCAGAGCACATGAGTTTGAGCTGACAGCTAAAAACAACACTTCACAGCTTCTCTCAGTCAGGTTACAGCTGTTCAACCTGTAAGGGAAAGCATGTTCAATCAGACATTTCTACACACTCCTGACATCACACATCCTATACGAGTCTCTTCTCAGGAATGCAGCTCAGATTATATAATGCTGGTAACACTGATTACTGGTTACTTTGTGTCCGGACTCACAGTGCTGTTCGGGACGCCTTGACCACAGGCAGCAGCCTCAGAAGACCATCGTCTGACCCGATGTATCTTTTCAGGTCAAACACATCCAGCTGCCCGTCTGAGGTCAGCAGCACAAAGGTCAGAGCGGACCACTGGGCAGGTGAGAGCTTTTCTGCTGAAAGGCTACCTGAGCTCAGGTAACTCTGGACTTCCTCTACTAGAGTGTTGTCATTTAGTTCATTAAGACAGTGAAACAGATTGATTGCTCTTTCTGAAGGCAGATCCTCTCTAATCTTCTCCTTGATGTAGTTGGCTGTTTCCTTTGTGTTGATTTTTTGGAATCTAATTTCTGACAGAATACCTTGCAAAAGAGTCTGACAGGAGTCCATTGACAGGCCAAGCAAGAAGCGGAGATAGAGATCTAAGTGGCCAGTCTTACTCTGTAAAGACTCATCCACTGCATCCTTTAGTATACGAGACATGGTGCTTTCTCTTTGCCGAAAAGAAAACTTAGCAAAAATAAAGGTCTGGTCTACATTTGTTAAAAACACATACAAAGCAGCAAGGTACTCCTGAATACTCAAATGTACAAAGCAGTACACCTTTTGCTGATACAATCCAATCTCCTCTCTAAACATTTCTGTGCACATCCCAGAGAAAATAGAAGCTTCACTCATATCAATGCCACATTCTCTCAGATCTTTCTCATAGAATATAAGATTTCCATTTTTGAGGTTTCGGAAAGCTAGCATCCCCAGTTTCAAAAGGAATTCTTCATCTGCTCTTACGGACTCTGAGAGAGGCTCTGCTGTTTGTTTTCTGAGATACTTCTGATTCTTCAGAGTTGTATGGAAGATGACAAAATGCGTGTACATCTGAGTAAGTGTTTTAGGGATTTTGCCACTGCCTGTTTTACCAAGCAGCTTCTCAAGAACTGTGGCTGAAATCCAACAGAAGACTGGTATGTAGCACATAATGTACAGGCTTTTTGATGACCTCACGTGTGAGATAATCCTGCTGGCCAGGTCTTGATCACAGAATCGCTTCCTGAAGTACTCCTCCTTCTGAGGATTATTGAATCCTCGTATCTCTGTTAGCCGATTAGCACATTCAGGAGGGATCTGACTGACCGCCGCTGGTCGAGAAGTGATCCAGAGGAGAGCAGAGGGAAGCAGATTTCCCTTAATGAGGTTTGTTAACAACACATCTAATGAGGTCGGCTTTGCAACATCAAACCAGCTCTCATTGGTTAGGAAATTTAGTGGAATGCGACACTCATCCAGGCCATCAAAGATGAACAGTACTTTGCAATTGCTAAGTTGAGCAGGTCCGAGCTCTTTGATTTCTGGGAGGAAGTGGTGGAGTAGTTGAATCAGACTGTATTCTTTCTCTTTCATTAAATTCAGGTCACGGAAAGGTAGTGGAAATACAAAATGAATATCCTGGTTTTCTCTCCTTTGGGACCAGTCAAGAATAAATTTCTGCACAGAGACTGTTTTTCCAATACCAGCCACCCCTCTTGTCAGCACAGTTCTGATCTGTGTCTTTTGTCCAAGTTGTGTTTTAAAGATGTCATTACACTTAATTACAGTCTCCTGTGCTGTGGGTCTCTTGCATGATGTCTCAATCTGTGTCACCTCATGTTGGTCATTCACAGCTCCGGTTCCACCCTCAGTTATATAGAGTTCTGTGTAAATCTGATTGAGCAGAACCGCATTTCCTTGCTTAGCTTGTCCTTCAAACACATACTGAAACCTCTTTTGCAGTGTTTGTTTGAGTTTATGTTGAGAATCCATTGTTTCCTCTGTAAAAACAAACATTGTTATATCTATAACAACAATTTTTCTGCAATTAAAATATACTTTAACATCCCAACGATTATTTCTCTTTTATTCAGTTTATGATTATAGACTAGCACACTTAAAATAAATTGCTTTGAATCACAATGTTTACATTATTCATTTAAACAGTCATACTGATTTCAGTATAGTGTAGTTGAGTTCCCTGAGACACCACAAAGAACACAGAGAAACACAAAAATGATTACTGTGTTCCAGCCTGTCAGCAAGATCCGTCTGCTTCATGGCCCTCAGGATGTACAGCATGATCTTCAGAGCTCCCTCACTGCCATAGCTCTTCTGAATCTTATTGTCACCATCCATCACACTGCCATCCTCCATCTGAGCCTCACAGCATGCTGGGTAATCTTCGCTCAGATATTTCTTGTACTGTTTCAGTTGGTCTTTCAGGAACTCCACAGCATTTTCCTCAAGTAACTAAACAGGTTATATTTGAATATATGTTATGTTTCAAGGAGAATATTTGGTAACATTTTACTTAAGGGGTCATAAATAATGTAATAGTGCACTCAATGTATGAATTAACCAGAAACAAAGTACATACTACATACTGATCTCATGCTTGTTCATCATTAATCGATCGTAACAGTTCTAGTATTTAATGTAGTTACTATAGTTGTTCATGATTTGTATTTGAGGGGCAGCCCGTTAGTGCAGTGGTTAGCACCATCACCTCACACCTGCAGTGGTTAGCACCATCACCTCACACCTCTGGGACCTGAGTTCAAGTCTCTGTCAGGGTTCTGCGTGTGGCATTTGCACATTTTCCCTGTGTCACTATGGGGTTTCCTCCATGTACTCTGGTCCCCCCCTCCACAGTCAAAGCTAATTGGAGTTACCAAATTTGTGTGTGTGCACATGCATGTTAATCTGGTAGAACAATGAAATAATATTTTTCTGTGCAAGAAATCCAAATGAACAATTTCAAACCTGCAATATGGATGACAATTCCTCATTGCGGTTTGCAAACTGCATCCTAAGACCCATTGAATCAGATCCCTTCTGTTTTTCTCTGTGAATAAAAGTTATAAAGATTGATCTTATACTTTTTCAAACATGTAGTACATACATGTATACTGTACTGTGCAAAAAAGTCTTACACTGGCAAAGAAAGTTATGTTTAAATGATCCTCATGCTAATGTATAACTATGATGATATGTCTGTCAAAGTGTGTTAGCTTAGCCTCTTCAAAACCTTGCCTCAGGTCACCCCAGGATTGGCAGGAACTTTCCAATATGCAGCTACAGTATCAATGACCTCAATTAAAGTAATTAAGTTAATTTATTAAGCGAGTGGGGTGTGGTGTTCCATGAAGCAGGATTTCTTGCTTAGCCAGATTACCTTAAATCCGACAAGTTATCTGGACTAAACTGACTTTATCTTCGTTCACTTACATTTAGCTCAGACTACCTTAAACCTGACAAGTTCTTGGACAAAGCAAGAAATCCTGCTTTGTGGAACATCCTCCTGGTGGTGATATTTAAATGTATGTAATGGCTGGGGGTGTCCCTGAGAAGAGGTTTGGGAACCGAAGTTCTGAACAGAAAGTTTTCAGCCAGCTCAAACAATATTTAGAGATAGTTCCATTTGCAACATTTTGCAATAGCACTAGAAAAACGGATGAAAAAAACAGTTTTCCATTTTTTTGCTACAATACATCTCAAACACCAGTTAATACCCTGTCAATGTCACCAATTAAGTCACAATTGTCAGTCAGTTGAACAAACAACTTAGAAACAGCAGGCTGAACAGTCAAATTTGCAAGGTAATTGAAATTTGTAATTGAAGAGCTGTTTTCCAAAACGCGATAAACGCCATATTAAAAAAAAAAACAGCTTGCCATGCCATTCTTCTGTGTATTGAACCTATCGACTGCTCCATCAACCTTTCATACCAAATCACTATATTTCCTTGTTTAAAATGTATTGCAAATTGCAGTGTTTTTTTTCCAAACCGCGATAAGCGCGATATCTTTTTTTTGTCTAAACGCGGCATCTCCTCTCGACCAATCAGTGTTCGGTCAGCGCTCTAATCTATCTAATATGGCGGCGCCCTGAAGAGAGGGGTTTTCTTTCCTGTGCTGCTTGGTTAAACACAGATATCGTTCGAAAATGGATGTTTCAAATACTTTTATGGTTCTGAAGAACAGGTGAGAGCTACACCATGTGGTAGACGTCATTTAAACAAACAGAACCATGAACGGGAGCCAACTAAGAAAATTCGTTATTTTGGTGGTGGATTGATCCTAGCAGTTGGATGTAAACGCACTGCTGCCACGAACTTTTGCCATGCAGATAAATTGACACCCGATGACCTGTGGCCTGTACTACGAAGTGGGGTTACTGGCTTATCGGGGTAACTTGTTGGATTTAAGGTAGTCTGGGCAAAATGTAAGTGA